AGAGTATCTCGTCCTCATGGTAAAGCCTGGCAAGCTACCTGTGACATATTCCATATGCCAAACACAGTAACAAGTCTCACAATGTTACTGGTCCTGCTCGAGCAAATCGATGAACAACGGGAGGACAGTGACAGTGACAGTGACTGTTCGGCCGACTTTCTGATAACTTACTTTGAGATTCACCTAAGTAGACATGTAAAAACATTTCTTTCTGGCACAGGGGTAATTCATTTATTTCCCTTCAACAGAAATTGTTCCTCGTGATCTGAGGATGAAGGACAAGTTTTTAAAGCATCTTACTGGTGAGTTTTCTCTGCTTCTGAGTTGCCTTTCCTGGGCCCTTCCTGGGCCTCATGGTGTCTCTCCCCACGTTCCAGGCCCTCTGTACTTCAGCCCCAAGTGCAGCAAACACTTCCACAGACTCTACCACAACACCCGAGACTGCACCGTCCCAGCATGTAAGTGTCTGATCTGGTTGTGGGCGTCCCTGTTCCTCTAACTCCCCAACCCAGACACCTGCCTCCTGCTCTCGGCATGCACTGTTCCCTCGAGCTGTGGCCTGAGGGCGGGCCACGGAGCACTGAGGAAGGTGAGCAAATTCTGCAGCTGCAAAGGCCAAACTGCGGGTAACTTAGGAAACCGTGCACTGAACGGGCTTTTCCGGGGACTGAGCCTCCGTTCCTGAGCCCCGCGTTTGTATTGACTCAGCCCTGGCAGTCGAGCAGCTAGGCACTGCCGTGGCACTGTGCTGAGTACAGGGCGTTGGTGCTCGGCTCTGTTTCCATCCACAGCTATAACCCAAGAATGCTATTGCTATTTTAAAAGTCTGCTTTTCTGGTTGTCTTCATTACTAATTCAGAAGCGCAACGTTTCTTCTCAGCCTGGGTCTCAGCCTAACTTTGTGGTGCTTATTCATGTTGAAATGTATCTTAACTTCCTAAAAATGACTCATTGTGACATTTTAACCAGAGTGAGAGTATATTAGGGCCCAGAACTCCCCCCTCCCCTTTCTTGGTAGGACTAAAACCCCCCCATTAGCTCCAGCTTTGGAGACCCTCACTGAGCCGCACGTCCATCCACTTCTTGCGGAAGCCCAGGGTTTTGTCCGTGTAGGCAACTCTGTTCTCCCGTGTCGCAGCTGTCATTCATTCATTCATTCATTCATTCAACATTGATGGGAGTCCCTGTTGGTGGGCTCTGCCAGGTCTGCCACAGTCCAGCAGAGGCCCTGGCAGAGAAATGCTGGCATCAAACAGGCCAGAGCAGGTGAGCACAGGCCTGGTGCGCTTACTTCTGCATGCTCAGCTCTGGGTCCATGTCCTCCCTGCCCCTTCCCTGAGCCGGTCCCCCCACCCCGACCCCAAGAATTTTCTCATCCTGAAAAGGTCCACAGGTTCTTACCTTTTGTCTTGTAATGATACTGTACTGCTTAATGTGTAAGTGGGTCCCAGGGCCTCTCTTGCCACTGCCCCTTTCATGAGAAGTCATCAGTGCTTATGAGAGGTGACTGATGTTATTCACGAGAGGTTTCATGAAGAGCTGACCCTTGCCTGTGCCGTAATACATGATCAGACGCACAGGCCGCCCCTTCACCAGAGTTCCAGGACACTCCTAGCTCAGGGATGGAGTGTGGGTCCTGCACTCTCCTTATACCACCAGAGATTTAAGTTCCACCTGGACTTGCTGGACAAAGCCTTCCCCTAAGACCGGCAGGCTGGGAGGTGTGTCTGGGTGCTCACAAAGAGGTGCTCACTAGCTCTCATGGCCTTCTGTGTCCACATGTGCTGTGCTACAGTGCTCCTGGGAGGAGAGTCAGCAGAAGACAGCCCCATGGTCCCTGGGGACTGGGTGGCCCGTCAGTCCCCGTGCACGTTTCTCTCAGGGTGTTCAGTTTCCCCAGAGCGGAAACCCCCGTGGTGAAGTAGTTGCCACTCTTCAGGTGTGGACTTTAGGCATTTATACGTGGCCGCAGCTTTGCGTGGACTTCCTGCTGAGGAGAGCTGCCCTTTATGGTCATCCCAGCCTCTCCTCTCCAGGAGACAGCACCCCCTGGAATAGCAGATTGTGTAAGAGCAAGGAAAACAGTCCCGCGCTGGATCAGCCCAGAGGACTTGCAGCTCCCTCTCCAATCCAACCAGGCCTCTCTGCTTCCTGACTTTTGACCCACTTTCTTCAGCATTTCCATGCAGAAAGCTGTGTGTTATGATTAACTCAAGTGGCAGCTCCGTGAGAAGCAGGGGCAGGAAGATGGTTTGCTGGGATGCAAGGCTGAGGCGCCCAGCAGGGCCCAGCAGGGCCCAGCAGCCCCACAAGGCCGAGGGGCCCTCGGAGTCGCTGTCTGGGCCAGTGATGTCGGGCCCTGCCCCTGAGCCCCGTATTGGCTGAGGGCCTCCGGAGCAAGGAACTGAGCGGCTCTGGCTCTAGCACTTGATGCCCTTGTTCAGAGAGTCCTGCTGATTAGCTGCTCTGTCTCCACTGCAGACTACAAGAGGTGTGCCCGGCTCCTGACCCGGCTGGCTGTCAGCCCCATGTGCATGGAGGGATGAGGTGAGTGGGGACAAGGGGGGCTCCTGTGGGGTTGCTTAGAACACCCTTTCTTTAGAGTAAGCTTGGCTGTCTTCTAGAAACAGCTCCAAACACTGGTCTTAGAGGCAGCCCGTGGAGGTGTGCTGTGTGCTGTGAGCAGCCCCGAGGGTGTGTGCTGGTGCAGGCCCCGGGGTGTGTGCTGGTGTAGACCCTCAGGTGTGTGCTGCGTGCATCTCACAGGTGTGTGCTGGTGCAGGCAGCCGTGTGGACCATTCTCAGTGCTCAGCGAGAGGCCGTGTGCTCATTTAAGCAAGCCCTCTAGAGGGCTGGCCAGCACACTTTGGTCTCTCCCAGGGCCCATCCCAACAAGACTTCTGTGTGTTCTGATGTGCACATGGCTAATGTCCCAGCACAGGCATGCGTTGGCACGTGGAATCACTGCTGGGCACCTCAAATGTGCCAAGGATGCAGCCCCGTCACCTCAGTTAGTTCTGGTAGACAGTGCAGGAGCATGGATTGGCGCCGAAAGCTCTGTGCTCATCTGGGAAACAGCCCAGCACCTGCTGCGCTGTGGGGGGTCTGGGGAGGGGTGATTCGCTGATAGGGGCAAATTTCCTGGCAGACGCACCCTTTGCCTTTATGCTTGAATTTCTCATGAGCTAGGCACTATTAGGTAAATGTCATCCCCACACGTAGAACAGCCCTCCTGGCCTGGGCACGTGTCAGCTCTCCAGAAACCCTGGCCTCTGACATGGCCCTTCCTGTGGCTCCTTTCCTTTGTCTCCTGGGGATCGTCCCATCAGGACACTCGAAGGGGAGGGGCTTACAGATGTCCTGAGTTCAGGGCAGAGTGTTCAACCTGGGGTCAGAGACATCGGGGTGAGTGCAGGATACTGCTCCCTGGAGCTTGAGCACTCTGTCTGGAGGAAATGAAACGCCGGTTTGGAAGCCAGTGCCAAGAGCTGCTGCTAGCTTATCTCGCTGGAATCCTGCGCTGCTCTTCCCCTGCCCACGTGGCACCCAGAGAAGACGCTTTATTTTTAAAGCAACAAACGATGCTGCTAAGTCTCCCAAGGTGTTATGCTGGGAGAGATGAGCACACTATTTTAGTCAGACGTTTCCTTCTAGGGAACGCAGATCCTTGGCGAACAAGCCCCCTGCTCCATCCGTGTGACAGCTGCTGCACCCCAGTCTTGCTCACAGACTGTCCCACAAGCACCCCACAGAGGAGGAGAGCAGCTGAGAGCAGGCGGCCTTCCCTGCCTACAATATCCTGGGTAGACTTTGCCCCTCAGCTCAGGCACCCCCAGACTGCCCAGCGGGCAGAGAACAAGGGGTCCTGCATGTGAGCAGACACACTGTGAGCCTTCCAGCCTCACTGGGGGACAGAATTACTGCATCCCATGTCAGAGTCTACACCCAAAAGGCCACCGCTTATAGCACTGTGCTTTTTCTGCCCAAGAAGGGGGTGATGCTTGATTTCATAGCACTTAAGATTTAAAGTTTTACAGTTCCACAAGTTTAAGGCTCGTAAATACTCATGACTATGATACACATGTGTGGGGATTAGGGTCAAAGTTTGCCCTGAGGTGGCTTTTTAGCACCTCAGTGAGACAATGGAGACATCCTTCTAGGGGCTTTTTGTGCTGACAGGCCTTCCTTACGTAGTGTAACCTTCCCAAAATGCTTGGTCCTCTCAGGACTGACCCAGGACTGAGCCGGAGCAGCAGACTGGATGCCCCTCACCATGCTGGGCCCGGGAGCCAACCTCTGCCTCCTCTGGGAGCTCAGTAGTGAACGGCTCCCATCCTTCCGCATCCCCTCACTGCCTGCTGGTCTGTGCTCCAGAAGTGTCCGTGGGCAGTCTCAAGAAGCAAGTTGCTAGCACAACTTAATGTACTTACATGATTTAAAAAATAAATAGTATGTCAGTGGTTCAGGTATACCATATGGAGCACTAGAATGCTGTCTGCTTTTATGTTTCGCCAACCCACTGTGAACACTGAGATATGAGGTCAGTCAGCTGTTTCCCAGGGTCGGCATGAACTGAAGGTAGTGTCAGTCAGACACAGCAAAGCAGAGCGCTATTTAGATCACTTCCATTCATCAGAACATTCGTTTCTTCAGCAGACAGTGACTATAGAACCCAAGTGATGATTTCTCACAATAATAGCGCGCCATCTATTTTGGGACGGAGACACTCATGCACACTGAGCCTCCTTACTCTGCACACTGACGACACAGAACTCCCCATGTAGGCCCTGCCGAGCAGATGCCGAGGTGGTGGCGGAGTGCAGTCCTTGCCCATCCCAGCAGCAGCACAGCACGGAGCTGCTCCCGACCTTGACCTTGAAAAGTGCCTTGGAACCCAAAGGGAGGTGCCTGCTGCCTCCACGGACGCACCCCGGATGAACAAGAGATTTATTTTTGCAGACACGCACCTCGAGATTCCCTGACTGTGGAGTGCTGTTGACAGTTTGTGGATAAGTTCAGTCAGTGTACTTGACAAAGACACTGTTCTGCACCATGACCCGGGCAGCGCTCATCATGGTCCTCGTGAGGAAAATCTGAGGATTTCTTTAGAAACATAAGCAAAGTCAAACTATATTTTCATAGAGCATATGGTATGGTTTACTATTTTTATTACGTTACGATTAAATTTCCATAATACTATTTGGAATTGCATGAAAAACCAGCCCCTTAGTGGTGTTTAGAGATGCTGGAGTCTAAGTCTCGGACCGTAGTAGCCAGGCTGAGCTCCCTTCCCTTTGTGTAACAAATGTAAAATAGTATTGGTAACTGTGCAATATGTAGATACTGTAAATAAACGCTAGAAAAAAACTAAATGCAGTGTTTGTCATAAAGAAGTATTCAGTGGTTTGGAGAGTGCTTGCCTTGTGGCCGACCAGGGCTTGCTCCCCAGCACACTTCATTCTTTGAGACCTACCAGCAGTGATCCCCGACCAGAGCCAGGAGTAAACCCTGAGCATTGCCAGATGTGGTCCCCTTCAAAACAATTTAAAAAAATCTAGAAGAGAAGTCTTCAAAGTCACTCCTAACTTCCTAACAAGTTATTGTTGGAATTAATCATTTATACATCTGAGAAGGAACAGGTCATCAACACTATCAGAGGAATAAAGAAAATGGGAGGGCAAAGAATTATGACTGGAAAACACAGTGTTTTTTTGTTTTTTAAGGAGGGCTCTCTACATTGAAAACCTTATTCCTTATCACAAAACTTGACAGTAGCATTCCAGGTACTTTGCCCTGTACTTCTCGCATGACTTTTCATGGAAACCCTGGACAAAGGGACCCTCAGCACTTCTAAGCAGCCTCAGATTTTTATTGGCCGATATATTTTGGAGATATCTGATCGGATCCAATTTATAAGGACAAGTAGTCCTGTAGAGCAGTGCACTTCTGTGTCTAAGGGGCTGGGAAAGCACAGGGGGAAGGCTCTCGCCTTAAATGTGGACACTCCGGTTCAATCTATGGCACATGCAGGGTTCCCTGAACATTGCCAGGAATATGCCCTGAGAACCACCAGGTATTGCAACAGCCACCTCACCTATTTTTTTTTTTTTAACCAGAAAGAAGACCTGTCAGGACACTGCCCTTTACTTGGGATACCACTATCAAATTCCCATCTGTCAGAGGAGTGTTCAGGTGGGAGTCTCATCTGTGAGTCCCTATTAGCACAAAGTGACCCTGTGGGTGTTATAAGCCGCCCTGCTTGCCTTCCAGGCACAGGATCCAGGCCCTCAGATGTTCAGAACAGATACCAGGGCAGGCAGCTGTTCTTCCATTCTTCAGCTCAGGAAATGCGCAGGTGTGTGCCAGCTTTGTTAGTTAGGACTGGGCATCTCTGAGCAGTGAGAAGCTGGCCTTGCTGTACTGCAAGGGCCTGAGGAGCAGGGACCACCTCTGACAAACTGCAGGGGCCTGCAGCAGAGACCTGTGGAGTAGGGACTGCCTCTGAGCACAGGGGCCCAAGGAGCAGGGATCACCTGTGACTGACTGCAGGGCCTGGAGCCTTTCCTCTGAACAGACATGACCGGTGCATTTTGACACCACCTAAGATCATCTAGGAAGGATTAGACAGGCAGTGTCTGCTGCTACCCCACACTCATCAACAGGGCAGGCGGGCAGGCACCAGTGACTTACTTCTTGGTTTTAATTTTGAAGATTTCTCAGTTTAAGACCACCTTTTTACATGGCTAGATGAATTTAAGACTGGTTACCTCAAAGTGCACGGAAGTTCCCTAGAGTTGCCCGCCAGTGAAGTGCAGATAAAATAATACAATTATCATACCAATATTTAAGAATTCGGATAAGACCCCTGGTATTTTTCCCCACCAATTTGTGTTTGACAATTGAGTTATATGTGCACACACAGGCAGGTAAGTGCCTCAAAGTGACTAAAAAATGGCGGCACCTACAAATCCTCCTTCCAGATGAAAACTTTCGGGGCAAAGTGGTTTGATTTGAGACAGGAGTACTGAGAGGATGAATGGACCAGAGCCAGGAGCGGGAGAGAGCTCAGGGACCTGTCCCACTCTCCCGCAGGACTCGGTGTAGGGCTGGCGGCCACTCCCTCTCCACCCTGAATGTAGTGAGTGCAGCCTACTTCTCTTTGCTCTGTTGTTCTACTGCTTTGTCATATCCAACCCAAAGAGACGTTTTAAGCAACCTAAGAACACTCACTATACCCCAAAATGGAATCAAACATGTTTATTCTTCTTCCAAATGCATCAGCTGGTTTCTGCCTATAATTATTAAGATGAGAGAACTGCAGACACACTGTGGCTCACGGGACAGATGCTGCTAGTCTTGAGCACGTGGATGGGAGATGTGGAGGTCACGGGGCTGGTCTCTGCGCTGCAGGTCAGCCAGCCTTCTCCAGGAAGGCTCGGCAGCATCTCAGACACTGCTGGTAGACGGTCTCAAAGTCAGACTCATTGCCCTGGAAGGACAGGGAAAGGAGATGAACACAACGGGTATCTATAGCACTGAGAGCCTAGCTATGCCACCCCGCAAGGAAGGACGAAGGCAGCCCCACAGGAGGGGAAAGGGAATGGAGAAGTGTACTTACATAATAGGGGTCTTCAATGATGGTCTGCTTTTGTGGGTCATAGCTTCCAAGTAGCTCAATTTTAGCTTTGCAATTTTTAACTTGATTACTTTTTCTATTCAAATCTCTGCAAAGGTGAAACATGAACTTAGTTTTCTGATCTAGGATTTCAAGTTAAACAGGGACATCTGCTCGGATTTATGAAATGTTCCTATCAAAGTCCAGCACAAGTGACCTGATTTAGGAGATAATCAGATACCTGGAGATCCGCGATCTTCTTGCACAAACAGCAGATTCTCCAACTGTTTGTCTGCCTGACAACCTCTTAAGAGTCAGAGCTGGCCAGTTCTATCTAAGGCCGTTTAAATGTTTTGTTCATTAGTTAACATAATAAATTAACTGAAAACTTTGTTTTGGGAGAAGGGAGGATACTGTACACCGAGGTGAAAAATGCTTAATAACACACCACACTGGCCATGAACCAGGAATGACACACTCCTGCCCTGCACAGCTCTGTCTTGTGTAGGCCAGCCTGTCCCCAGCTAGCGCCCTTGAATGAAACCTGCCCAAAGTGCTTCCTGAGGGCATGTTTGTAAAAACACCCACAGGACAATCCTCAACCACTGTTCCGATGATTTCTTACTATGCTAAGTAATTTTTATACTGTGACAACAATATTACAACTTGGAGATTGTAATACAAAGGTCATGACAAATGGCCTATTACTATGACCAGAAAAACAATTTAAAAATGTAATTACCTCAGATTGCTTTCATCCATACATAGTATGTAGTCGAATGTGGCAAAATCTTCTTTGGTAATCTAAAATCAAAAACACAGCACTGATTTTAACACCCACCAAGCCTTGGGCATACCAAGCAGTGCTTAAGAAACACTGCTGTTTGAGTGTGTTCCTCATTAAGGTAGCCAGGATACTTTACAACAGTCAACTTATTTTCCAAAATTGTACCGCACAGTTTTATGCCTAAAGTTCTTTGGCTAACCAGAAGCAGAAGGAGAAGCCAAGCCTCTAGCCCTCACCCTGGTCTCTTCCCAGTGAGTGGGCCACACCACAATGCACCTCATTCCATTCATCCCGACCGGTTTTTCATTCTGTAAGTACATTGCTTGCTTGGTCCCAATGATACACACAGACTTAATCAGAACTGTGGGGGGGAGTGCGGGTGGGTGGTTTGGCACAGCCAGCTGGGAGGGCACAGTACGGGAGTCACCAGGGAATGCCCTGAGACCCTCAGATCCTGTCACCAGCACAAAGATCCTGCAGCTTCCAGCAACTCCCTGGGCACACTCTCCAGTCACCGGCAGCGGAGCTTTGGCTGGGTGACCTTCAGTTGGGGGCGAGACCATTTCCACACACTGCTCTGGCACAGACCCCTAAAGGAGTATTTGAATATTGGTTGCACAGAACCAGACAGTCTTTGAAACTATGCCCCAACTGAAGTCTGTTGCAGAATGGACTACGGCAGTGTTTCAATGAATGCAGCAAGTCCACTTCCACACTTTTTGAATGGAGCTTTCAAGCACGTGAGTCTATCTCATGGATCCTGAGGCTCCTTAGCCACATGCAGGAACTCTAGACTCCCAGGCACTGGTCCCCTAAGGGCAGTTGGCAGTACTGGGATGCTCTGGCTTCAGATGGGGTATCCAGGGTCTTTCTCTAGTGGGAAGTCTTGGGGGCTGCTACACACCCAATACAACAGGACAATAGATGTAGGCTCCAGGGTCAACATGGCCAAGTACCCGCTTTGAGCATTTCAAAAGCTGCAGAATCAGGGACTGGGGTTAGCAGGAGCTGTTCAACAGCCACACACGGCTTCTTCCCAAAGAATGCTGCCACATTCTGAAACTACTCTGGGAAGGAATAGGGCAGCAGGACTCCTGAGGCAGCCCTGCCCACATCTCTCCAGCTTGCCACAAGCCACCAAGGAGAGGTCCCAATCCTAACTCTATAAGGCAAGTGCCCTGAGGACCTCCCTACATAAGTCATGCCCTCTGGGAGTGAAAGACACAGTTTTTTGTATCATGGGCAGCAATTAACTACAAACTAGCAGGACTAGCAAGCAATCAAACAGAAGGAAAGAGAAAAACAGACAATAGGTAAGATGCAAAATTTCACCAGAAAACAAAAAAAAAGTAAACAACAGAATAAACAAACATTCAACAGTGGTATATCCACTATTTGACAATATCAGAGAAGTGGATATCTCAAAAAAAAAATCAGTAAAACATCAGACAGAAAATAAGAAAACGGAGAGAACCCTAAGAAATTTATAATAAAAATACATATTGATTACATATTAGGAAAGAGTAAGAAAAATATTCAAGGATGACAAACCACAATTTTCTAAACTGATAAAACATCTAGGAATGAACTCTGGAAGCATCTCTTGCTCCTTGCTGAAAACTGAGCTCCCTGAAAAGTGATTCCACAAACAGCAGAAACATAAGCACTTAGACCTACCAATATCTACAAGTGTCAGAAACACTGAAAGAAGGAAATGGTTCAACTGGCTTTGAGGCAGAAGCACTCTGACACAAATGTGTGAGGCTGAGGGGGGTTTCCAACCCTGGATATGTGTGTGATATTGGGTATGTGGCTGAGACTGACACATGTATGATGCTGTGTGTTCAATTCTGACATGTGATGCTGGGTGTGTCTGACCATGACCCTGTATGATGCTGCAGGTGTGTCCAACCCTGACACACATGAAGCTGGGTGTGTCTGACCCTGACATACATATGATGTTGGGTGCCTGAGCACATGTGTTACATGAATCTCCATTCCTGAGATGTGAATTTTTATACTTTCACATCTAATTGCTGGGATATGTATTAGGGCACTCCTTTTCATTTTGAAGAAGCCCATGTTCTCTTTTGCTCTCTAGAGCAGGAGTCTCTCTCTCTCTCTCTCTCCCCCCTCCCCACTCACACACACATGGGTACAGCAGCACATGTGTCTAGCTTTGGTATTTTTATGGCATATGTACCTAAAATTGTTCACTTGTGCCTACTCTTATGATATAAAAAGGTTGTTCCTGTCCAAATAAAAATTTTCACCTGGGGGCCATGGTGATTTACGTTAAATAAATTAAAAGAGTCAAGTAAACATCCAGAAATTAGTAGTTTGTGAATCTAAGTGCAAACTAACCTAAACACCAAAAAATACTGCAAGCACTACTAAATTCTGATATCATTACTATTATAAAAATATTTCCATGGCAATTCTATTTTGTAAATTTTCTGACTCACAACTCTATTATTCTTATTAAAATATCAAACCTTCAGGTCTGCTGCTGCCTAGTCTCCTTTACCCTAGTGAGGAATTAAAGCAGAGGAAACCAGAATTATAAATAAAATACTGCATAGTAAAGATCTGGAAAAGTTAGCAAAGATAAACTTTTTATAATGAGGACTTAAGAATCCTTATTCAGTCTTAAAAGAACTTCTGATTCAAGTCACTGTCCTGTTGTTCATTGATTTTCTCGAGCAGGCACCAGTAAACGTCTCACAACAAATTGTGAGACTTGTTACTGTTTTTGGCATATCGAATACGTCGCTGGTAGCTTGCCAGGCTTTGCTGTGCGGGCGAGATATTCTCGGTAGCTTGCCGGGCTCTCTGAGAGGGGCGGAGGAATTGAACCCGGCTCGGCCGGGCTGGCTGCATGCAAGGCAAAAACCCTACAGCTGTGCCGTCACTCCAGCCCCTGATTAAAGTATTAATACTAAATTATTGTTCTCACACTGCCACCCAGACTTACAAATGGGCAATGTGTCTGACAACTGAGTCTCAAAACATTTGGTGTCTAAAGTTCCAAAGCCCGTTTCTGGACATGGTATCATTAGGTTGAAAGGTCAAAAATTTTAGTCAAAATTTAAAAGACACAACTCTTCATAAAATAATCATAGTAAGAAAAAGTAACTTCCTGAAGAACATAGAAAGCATTTTCTATCAGAAATGAAGCCAATATTTCCCCCCAGTACTGGTGGTTGAACCCACAGCCTGACACAGGGAATACCATGTTGTTTACCAGTGAGCAACATCCCCGCCCCAAAGCCAATTTCTTTGGAAGTTGTTCCTTGTGATAAGGAGGGCGAGGGGGTGAGTGGGTGGAACCTACAAGTCTGCCATGGACCCTGATCTTTCTCTTCACTGAGACCCTCTTTCCCTGTGGTTGCATACGAATTCATAAGAATCCCAGGGCCCAATAAGGCACCCAAATTCCAGCTGCCTGCTTGAGTTAGAGCTTCAAGTCCAAGTTTCTGACACGCAGTTAGTGGCTTCCAGCAGACGCAATGCACCCTCCTCATCTGGACATTCCACTGGGCCAGGCTTGGAGTCTAGCTGTCCAGGCAGGATGGTTGGCATTCAGGGGCCATCTCCAGGATGCACAGCACTCTAGCCTTCTTGGCACTTCACAGCCGAAAACATGGTTTGTGTATAGTACAGAACTTTACTTTCTTAAGAGCAAATGTACAATATAAGCAGATTAGTCGCTATGGCTTAAAAGTCTAACAATCACACAGACAAAAAAACTAAAGTTGGGCCTTCAGGTGTTAGCCGAGGTTCTCTCCATTACAAATTACATAATCATACATGCACTTAATTAAGTAAGTTCCAAGGTCATGCAAATCTTCCAGAACTACAGAACCCGCTGGGAGATGGAAAGGAGAGCTGTGGTAAGTACATTCATGTAATTTTTCAAGCTGGGAATCCATATATTAGAAATTCAGCAAGGTCTCGTCTACCTGTCTTGCTTTATGGGCTGTGTTAATGCCATGATCTCTCAGGCAGCTCACAGCTCTTGAGTCTGGGGACCGGCCCACGTTCCAGTCAGAAACAGCGCTGCTGTCAATGACCCACTGCAACACAAAACACACATTCACCTTCAAGTTCAAGTACAGTACCTGTCGGGCAATGTGATTCATGGGCACGTCATGCTTCTTCATGCAATTCTGCCCCCGATAGTCAGGAGGATTTCCTATTTCATATGTGGAGGTCGCTGCACTGTCTATTCTCCACTGCAGGAGAAAAAAAAATTTTTTTCACAATTTCCTGTCCCCCCAAACATGTAGGTTGCCCTCTTTAACATAGTGAAGAGTACTTACTTTATCTGAAACATTTTGATCGGTAGCAAGTTTTCTGAAAACTGCTTCTGCAATGGGTGACCGACAAATATTACCTTAAAAGAAGGGAAGGCAGAAAAGGGGCTTCAGATGAGCTGAAAGGGCAGGTCCTGGCTTTACCACACTGGGCCTCTCAGACCCCACACACCCGTGGCCATGGGCACACCAGGCGGGCGGAAGATGAAAACCTGGCAGCCTGGAGGGGTGAGCATTTGACGCCACTGTCCAAGGACTCAAAGCACAGATGAAAAAGACGGCAGAGAAATGATAAAACCAATCATTGTTTCTAGGGTGTGACTTATGACCTAGCAATCATACACGAAAATGGGTTGTTATTAGCCTATTTTAAAAAAGAATACAAAAGACTAAAAGTAAAGTAAAGGCCCTCCCGTTGATCATCGATTTGCTCGAGCGGGCCCAGTAACGTCTCCATTGGAGACTTTGTTGTTACTGTGTCTGGCATATCGAATACTCTCGGTAGCTTGCCGGGCTCTCCAAGAGGGGTGGAGGAATTGAATTAAAATTGTATGTTTTCAAGAATTAAAAATGAATGTTTTCAAGCATATGTCACACATAAAGAAATACAAATGAAAACCACAAGGGAGGACCCCCCCGGCAGCTATTATTAAAGGTGAGGATGAGAACAGAGAATCTGTGCAATGTGGGTAGGCGCAGACGGTAGCGGCCTCCACAGACATAGATACGGGCCCCCACATTTAAACACAGGTCTACCACATAACCCAGCCATGCTACTCCAGCTGTCTTAACAATAGCCTGTGAAAACACAGAGCCGCATGCCCCATCTCACTATCCAGAGCAGGATTATTCACAACAGGCAAGAGGCGAGGCACCCGATGTGACAGCTGGATAAGCTAGTTCCCTCCACTAATACAGCCGCCTATAGACACACACAGGGTCCCAAAAAACAGGTACTCTTATCAGTGGGTGTCACCCATTCACATGTGCAGACTGGTGAAAGGGAAAATCACTCTTGTACCTGGAAGGCAGAATCAAGTAACAAACACGAATGACAAGAGTATTGAGGTGTCAATTGTGTGTGTGTAACTACGTACATGGAAGTACATGCCGTGATGTTTGCACCATTAGGTAAGTGCTAAGGATGTATTTCTCAAGAATGTATGCCATCATGAAAAGAGGCACGCCTATATACACAAAGATTCCCAGCAGGTACATGAAACAATTCCTGAGACATAATGGACCTATGGGCAATTACACAGAGTGAAATAAAGCAGCAAAAGATGCACAGAGATAGAACAGTGGGGAAGACACTTGCCCACGGCTGACCAGGGTTTGATATCCGGTGTCCCATATGGTCCCCTGACACAAAGTCAGGAGTCAGTCCTGAGCCCTGCCAGGTATGACCCCCAAACCAGAAAAAACCCACCCCATAAAAAAAAAACAAACAAAACAAACATGAAAAAGACAAATACTATCTTATCTCACATATATGTGGAATCTTAAAAACAGCGCTGTGATCACAGTTACTAACAAAATACTGAATATCTGGAACTCACTGAGGGTAATTCTAAATAGTTCTCACGATAAGTGAAAAACATTTTATTTGGGGGATCTCCTAAGCAGTGCGCAGGGATTCTGAGGGCACCCAGCAATCCTCAGTCACCAGTTCAGTGTTAGGGTCTGAGGATGCAGTGTAGCTCAGGCCACGCGGAAGAGAAACACTAGGCCCACAGATCTGTGTTATTCAGGTTCTGAACTCGCACATATGATTAAGTGTAGGCTATAGCCCCACAGCTAAGACATGACCTATATCAGTTATATCTCAGAGTGAACTATATGACCAACCTCTAACAGCTTCCTCACTCTTGCAGTTTCACCTTCAAGTGCAATATGACTTCAAGGGTAAATAGAATTTTCAAGTGAGAACAAACTGACTCTTAGAAGTTGAGTTTGGGAGAAAACAATCCACTATCAGTAATTTCTTCTACTTAGATCCCTTATTCTAGAGGATGATCCATATCCACTTATATAACCCAGAGACATATCTGGCTTCACTTTTAATTTTACCAAAAACTTAAGATTTCAAAGAGTAGGAATTCACCCAGGATCCAAAGCTATTTGGTTGAACAACATGAAAAAAGCCAGTAGTCACTATCTTTAGCCTAGAAAAATGGCTTCAATTTAATACTACATAAAATAAGCTGTTCCACATTAGAAAACGCTAAGACTTATCCAGTTGATTATTAAAATTAACTGTAAAATAACAGTTCAGTTTCACAAAACAAGATTAAACTTCAACTTAAAAATTCAGGCATATTCATCTGTATTTACATTTCCTAAGTAACTTTACTTATAGCAAGATGGTGTATATAAAGATGGAAAAATAAGTCACATCATCTCTAAGGTCAACAAGAATTCTGCTTGCTTGCAACCTGCCTTATTGATTTCAAAAGCTGACACCATCAAATTAAAGTGTTGTTTAAAAATGGAATGCATATGTGATACTTCAGATCTAGCCTATGTAAAAATTCTAAAAACTTAAAATGTTACCTTCAGATTGTTTTAGAACAAAATTTCATTCTGTTAAGCATCAAGTCCATGTCCTCCCACCCAGGCAGACAACACCTGAAACTCAAGGATAATGAAATAAAACTCCCATTTTATTAGGGTCTGTAGGTCTGTGTCTGTTTTAATGCTGTTTTTTAACACCAAGCTCCATATCAAAATGTGGTACACAGAAAGCACCAATAAATACCAATTTATCACAAGAAAGAGGCAGCCAGACGCCACTGACATGTTATCACCTCCAACCTGCTGGCTATGGATTAACTACGCATCCCCTAGCTGGTCTCTATCTTGCAAAAAACCACAAAAGCATGCGAATACTTTTGGGACACAAGGAATTTAGCTCCTTCCTGCCACTGGTCTTACCCATGGGAAACAACCACACACTTTGCTATGCCTCAGTCTGGTGGGCTACGGGGACTCAGATCTCGCCAGAATCTCACGACACTCAGTTCTGTCTTCAACCCTGGCCTTTTAACGCCACAGGACAGGTGGATGCTGTTTTGCAAGCTTGCTTTAGTTTCTTCCTGCTTCTGCTCAAAACTGTCTAGTGCCCACGTGGCTCAGAGACCTGCCCTCCTTTGGCACTCCAGCAGGGTTCACAACGAGGCCACTAGGGTCACTACTTCACTGCTGAGGAAGATGCTGACATCTCCTGCAAGAGAAGCCTGCAAACGCAGTTTACCTACAGCTAGAGTGCTGCTGAAGCAGTCATGCTGCCACACGCTGTCCCGACCCACTCTACACCAACCTTTGGGAGGACCGCAGAACAAAAACTCTTTCCTTGCCTGCTCGTATCAGAACCTCTGTGGATGACTGCCCCACAACCAGCTCCCCCGCGAGTTCTGCCGTAAACTGAGGGGGTACCACACAACACCAGGACAGCTTTTCGAATCGTCTCCAAATCGCTGGCTTCAGGGCTCAGACCAGAGTGCTTCTGGGAAAGGCCACAAGCACCGCCCAAGCACAGTGGCCCTGGCTACTCCCTGACCACAGCCACCACCCCCTCCTCTAGGTCAAGGCATTTCTCCAAGACCCTGGGCTTGCCACTCCCCTCTTTCAGGTCTTTACTCCAACATCAGCTGTCACCAGAGGGTGAGGCCTTCCTGGGAGCCCTGCTGAAACACCTCCACTCATCTCCCACCCCTTCCTGCTCTCCAACCTAATTCAACATCGGCTGACTGAGTGACAACTGTGAAGTGTGATGACAGAATGGGACTCCCGGGGAGTCAGGCTTCTGGTCTACATGTAGCCACTAACGCAGCACTGGGGAAAATCTGGGAATCTGGTGGTGGCAAAACAAAACCCTGTACCAAAGATAAATCACAGCTCCATGGTGCCCTATCTCCAAAAACTCCACTCTAAATCTAATGTAAGCAGGCAAGCGGATCTGGGGGCCAACTAACCAATCCTCGACGGTGAGCTTAAAATCAAACGCTCTCTCCTGAAAAGGGCGACCTCTCCCTCTCAACTCCGTTTTGCGAAGGCCAAGTGCCACAGGTGCAGAGCTGAAATGCAAAGAAAAAGAAGCCACGGGCACGTCCCCGAAACGCGTCCAACTCAGCGGGCACTGCAAGACAGACATTCCCAAAGACTCGGGAAACAAGTGCACCCGGAGGAGCTGGGCAACGAGGGCACAGCCGAGTCTGGGTCAGCTGCAAAGCAGGGGCCGGAGGAGCCACAGAACCCGAGGCTCTTCAGGTCACCTGCAGCGCCTGGACGCGGCTCCGAGGGCCAGAGGGTCCCGCGGGGACTGGCAGGCAGGGGGCGGAGTCCCCGAACACGAACACCCGGGACCGGGCGACGGGCGCGGGTCTGCGTCCCTAGAGCGAGGAGGGGAGACCTCGCGCCCGACGCCTGCCAAGAAAGGGAAAGTCGAGGCTGAGTGAGGACGGCCACGGGCCTGGACGTTCTCCACTGCCGCGCCCGCCGGGGCAGAGGCACTGGCGGCGGGCACGTCCCCTCAGGCCCCGCTCGGGTCTCCAGAGTCCCTCAGGTCTGCACGGCCCCTCAGGCCCCGCCCGGGTCTCCAGAGTCCCTCAGGTCTGCACGGCCCCTCAGGCCCCGCCCGGGTCTCCAGAGCCCCTCAGGCCCCGCCCGGGTCTCCAGAGCCCCTCAGGTCTGCACGGCCCCTCAGGCCCCGCTCGGGTCTCCAGAGCCCCTCAGGCCCCGCTCGGGTCTCCAGAGCCCCTCAGGCCTGCACGGCCCCTCAGGCCCCGCTCGGGTCTCCAGAGCCCCTCAGGTCTGCACGGCCCCTCAGGCCCCGCTCGGGTCTCCAGAGCCCCTCAGGCCTGCACGGCCCCTCAGGCCCCGCTCGGGTCTCCAGAGCCCCTCAGGTCTGCACGGCCCCTCAGGCCCCGCTCGGGTCTCCAGAGCCCCTCAGGTCTGCACGGCCCCTCAGGCCCCGCTCGGGTCTCCAGAGCCCCTCAGGCCCCGCTCGGGTCTCCAGAGCCCCTCAGGTCTGCACGGCCCCTCAGGCCCCGCCCGGGTCTCCAGAGCCCCTCAGGCCCCGCCCGGGTCTCCAGAGCCCCTCAGGTCTGCACGGCCCCTCAGGCCCCGCTCGGGTCTCCGCGGCCCGTCGGGCCCCGCGCAAGCCCGGGGAATGCAGCCCCGCACCCCCGCCCGCGCAGAGCCGGGGTCCGCCGCCGTGCGCCCCCGCCCCCGCTCCGGCCGCCCGCGGACGCTCACCCAGACACACGAACAGCACGGACTTGGACGCCGGCTCGGCCATGTTCGGCGCCGCGACCGCCGACGGCTCCCGGACGGGCTGGCGCTGCGCCTGCGCACTCGGGGAGGGCCCGCCCCCCGCGCCTGCGCAGTCGGCCCGCCGCGAGCTCGCGAGTGTTGCGTCTGCGCGGGCCGCAGCGCGGCCGCGGCTCTGTGACCGGCGGGGGCGGGGCCGATCACCTGAGCTCGGACACGGGGCGGCGGGGCCGGTCACGTGCCTCCGGGGAGCGGCTGCGCGGGCTTCGGGCGGGTGGCCCCGTCCCGCCGGGTCTCGTGAACCCCGCGAGGCTCCGGCTCCGACGGGCAGGGAGGGGAGGACGCCTCTCCTCAGGGCCCTCACCCCGGCTGGCCGGGGGCGTCGTCCTGCCGTCGGGACCCTCACCCCTGTATGGGGCTGTCGTGGCCCTCAGGACCCTCACCCTGGGCACGGGGTCGTCCCGCATTGGGACCCTCACCCTGGCGGTGGGGGGCGTCTTCCCTTCAGGACCCTCACCCGGCCTGGGCTTCGTCCCCTCAGGGTCCTCGGGCGTCGTCCCCTCAGGACCCTCACCCCGGGCAGGGGGCGTCGTTCCCTCAGGGTCCTCGGGCGTCGTTCCCTCAGGGCCCTCACCCTGGGGTGGGGGCGTCGTCCCCTCAGGACCCTCATCCGGGCACGGGGTCGTAATGCCCCCATTGGGGCCGTCGTCCCACATTGGAACCCTCACCCTGGGCGGGGGCGTCGTCGCCTCAGGACCCTCACCCCGGGCAGGGGGCGTCGTCCCCTCAGGGTCCTCGGGCGTCGTCTCCTCAGGACCCTCACCCCGGCTGGCCGGGGGCGTCGTCCTGCCGTCGGGACCCTCACCCCTGTATGGGGCTGTCGTGGCCCTCAGGACCCTCACCCTGGGCACGGGGTCGTCCCGCATTGGGACCCTCACCCTGGCGGTGGGGGGCGTCGTCCCTTCGGGACCCTCACCCGGCCTGGGCTTCGTCCCCTCAGGGTCCTCGGGCGTCGTCCCCTCAGGACCTTCACCCTGGGGTGGGGGCGTCGTCCCCTCAGGACCCTCACCCGGGCACGGGGTCGTAATGCCCCCATTGGGGCCGTCGTCCCGCATTGGAACCCTCACCCTGGGCGGGGGCGTCGTCGCCTCAGGACCCTCACCCCGGGCAGGGGGCGTCGTCCCCTCAGGGTCCTCGGGCGTCGTCTCCTCAGGACCCTCACCCCGGCTGGCCGGGGGCGTCGTCCTGCCGTCGGGACCCTCACCCCTGTATGGGGCTGTCGTGGCCCTCAGGACCCTCACCCTGGGCACGGGGTCGTCCCGCATTGGGACCCTCACCCTGGCGGTGGGGGGCGTCGTCCCTTCGGGACCCTCACCCGGCCTGGGCTTCGTCCCCTCAGGGTCCTCGGGCGTCGTCCCCTCAGGACCCTCACCCTGGGGTGGGGGCGTCGTCCCTCAGGACCCTCACCCCGGGCAGGGGGCGTCGTTCCCTCAGGGTCCTCGGGCGTCGTCCCCTCAGGACCTTCACCCTGGGGTGGGGGCGTCGTCCCCTCAGGACCCTCACCCGGGCACGGGGTCGTAATGCCCCCATTGGGGCCGTCGTCCCGCATTGGAACCCTCACCCTGGGCGGGGGCGTCGTCGCCTCAGGACCCTCACCCCGGGCAGGGGGCGTCGTCCCCTCAGGGTCCTCGGGCGTCGTCTCCTCAGGACCTCACCCGGGCACCGGGTCGTAGTGCCCCCACTGGGACCCTCACCCCGGGCGGCGGCGCGCGCCCTCAGTCCCCGCGTGACAGCCTCGCGCTCGGTCCGGCCCCGCCTCGGTCCGGCGGCTCGCGGGGGCGGGAGGCGCCGGGGCCGCCCCGCTGCGGGTGACGCGGGCGCCGGGGCGGCTCGTCCACCTGCTCGCGCCGCGCCCAGGTGAGCCGGGCGGCGCGTCGTGCGGCCACGCCCCGCGCTTTCCTCTTCCTGCGGGCGAGCGCGGCCAGGGGCGCCGGCGGCGGCTGGGTGACGAGTGAGTACCCCGGCGGGACCCCCCGAACCCCAGACTGGACCTGGGTGGCCGAGTCGCGGGCGCGGGAGGAACGACGCCCCCGACCTCGGCTGGCTCGTGCTCGCGCGGGTGACGCGCGGGCCTGGCGGCCGTGCAGACCCCAGGGGCCTCCGCCCGCCCCGCACTCGCGACCCCGGGGCCCCGTCCGCGGCCCCGCGCTGCTGTGAACTCCGGGGAAGACTGGCGACCTGGGCTTGCGGGGGTCTGCGTTTAAGCGCTCGCTCGGAAAGCCGGGGCTCTCAGCTCTGCTGCGGGGGGCTGGCCCGCCCCCCTCCCCGCCCCCCTTCTGACCTGGCGACCCGCCAGTCCGAGGGATCCCCGGGAACGGTGTGTAACTGCTCACCAAAAGCACCTTGGGCAGGAGTGCTGCAAACTCAAGAACAATCGCCAACTCCTGCTCTGCGTATCTCGTGGTGGATGGAAGGGAAGGGCACTGGGTGGCTGATAAGCTCCAGGGTTCTCTGAAGTTGGTAGATGCCCCTTCCCCTCCATATCTTTTGTGAGATTTTGCTTAGAAGAATGTCTTGATGCTTCCATTCCATTAAAAATATCTCAAGGGTCTCTCACCATTTGGAAGTAGATTTGGAAGTAGGTTGGCTGTATTGGTGGTCCCCAAGCCCCCCCTTGGCTGAGTTGTAAATACATCTGAATTGGAGCTGTTCTGTGCAGAGGATGATTCAAGTACTCTGCGCTCTCTGTTTTGGAGTGGACTCTAGGGTGACCCTGTGTGGTCCTCTCTCAATTCTGAGAAAAGATCAGACCTCCTTCCCTCTGCTTTCGCCGCTGCTACACAATCTGAGGAGAAAGGAAGCTCCGTTCATGTCTCAGATCCTAATGGTCAGTTTGACTTAAGTCTGGGTAGGTAGTGTAGTAATCTTACCAGAGAGACAGGCCTTTCATTTCCAGACTGACATGCTTAGACAGAAGGCGGGTCTTGGTTTGAGTACAGGAAAGCAGTGGCATTCTACAGGGTGATCTGGCAAGACCTGGGCGCTGCCGGCTAGATCAGAGCCTGTTTAAAGAGTTCGCAGTAAGGGAAGGAAGTTTGGCTAGAACTCAATCAGGTCATTTCAAACGTTTCCTTAGAAGCATTCCAGTTTCTTTGACTTTTTTGGGAGTTGACCTCTATTTCATGTGAAGGATAAAATTTAGTAATTTGTGGGCCGGAGAGATATTACAGGGGTTCAGGCTCTTGCCTTGCACAAAGCCACCATGGTTCAAGTCCCTGGTACCACATATGGACCTCTGAGTACTGCCAGAGGTCTCTCCTGAGCACTGGTGGTATGGCTCTCCCCCAAATATCAAAAGACTTAATGGAAATTTTGCCAGTCTCTGCCGTGCGGGCAGGATACTCTTGGTAGCCTGCCGGGTTCCCTGAGAGCGAGAACTAGACAATAAAGAGTTATTATGTTATATTATATTATGTATACACATACATACATAATAAAAAGAAAGTTAAAAAAATATCTAATGGAAATTTTGGAGATTCATTTCTAAAATTATATTATAATCAATAGGAAATAATATGTAAATTATTTCCACAGATTCAGTGCTTTTTAAGTTTTTGAAGTTTCCAAAGTACAGTTTCCCCATAGGAAAACTGTACTTCTTAATTAAAAAATGCCCTTGTATGAAAATATTCAAATATTTTAATTGCTTTCGAAAGAAAAATTTACATCTAAGTTTTTAAACTTGAGACTTGGCAATCATCCAAAGGAAAAACTCAAATATATAGAGAATTCAGTTTACCTTGGAATTTAAGAAACTTGACTTTTATGAATGTTCAAATCCCAACCATGATTTGTGTAAGAATAATGATTAACAACACTGTAGCACTGTCCTCTCATTATTCATCGATTTGCTCGAGCAGGCACCAGTAACGTCTTGCAACAAATTGTGAGACTTGTTGTTATTGTTTTTGGCATATCGAATATGCCATGGGGAGCTTGGCAGGCTCTGCTGTGCAGGGTTGGATACTCTCAGTAGCTTGCCGGGCTCTCCGAGAGGAGGAATTGAACCTGGGTCGACTGCATGCATTGGAAACGCCTTACCCACTGTGCTATCGCTCCAGCCCAATGATTAGTAATACATTAATAATGATATACATCTTTGTAACTTCAGGTCTGATTCTGAAATTCTGATGATTCTTTATGGTATAGTGGAAGAGGTTGCCAGCTACCGAGAGAATCCTACCTGTACAGTAGAGCCTGGCAAGCTCCCTGTGGCGTATTCGATATGCCAAAAACAGTAACAACAATGGGTCTCATTCCCCTAACCCTGAAAGAGCCTCCAATGCAGCACCGTTGGGAAGAACAAGTAAAGAGAAGCTGCTAAAATCTCAGGGCTAGGATGAATGGAGATGTTACTGGAGCAAATTGATGAACAATGGGATGACAGTGATACAGTGATAGTGGAAGAGATGCTGATGTTAAATTGTTAGTCTTATTGACTTGCCAGAAACTCACAATATTTGACAGGTAGTATGATTTTAGTGGCAATGTAATACAATCTACACTATTGAAGGCAGTTAGCCAGGCTCTACTGTAGGTGGACAAGATGGACAGAGGCCTCCATACGGGCCTGGTGCACGAGGTACAGGGCTGTGTCTCAACAGGAGCCTGACTTCTTACCCACTCCTGCTTTGGCTGCCTCAAAATGCTCAAGCAGCAGCTCAACAGCACTTCTCAGCTGTAGGATTTGCTGCTTTGATCTGCTTTGATTTGCTACTATTTTGGGAAGGGGTGATTAAGATTTATATATGACTGCTTTAGTTACACATGATAGAAAATCTGGTCTGTACTGGCTTTTACAGAAAGGGATTTTGTAGGTTGCTTCAACAATAGATGGCCCAATCATGGGTGCACTCAGGCACTACTGAGTCACAAGCTGCCCTGCAGGGCTTTGCACTCAGCCATTGTCCCTTCTGGTAACAGAAACCTATAGCAAGTCCCAGTAGAAGTGTCTGGAAAGAGTCTCCGTGGGGACATGTTGGGGTGCTTGCTGTCATCTAGGGCTAGGAAACTCTATTGTGGGCCCAGATTTGGTCTATTTTGCAGGCGTGGGTCACCTACCAAGTCGGGTGCGACACCTTGGACACACTCAGCAGCAGAAGGGAGAAATTCCTGGGGCAGTTTAATAATTAAAGTACTAATTAATAATTTAATAGTTCAGGGTGTTGGGTGAGTAGTGAGTCTGAACAAGGCTCTTTAGGGAACAAAGGTAGATTGAGGCACTCTTTCTGACCTGGCGCTTTTCAGTTTGGCAGTAGGAAGAAAGGGTGAAAATATGAAGATTCTCTGGCACAGGGCTGAGTTTGCAGTCACCCGCATCAGTGCCAGTAATGCCTTCTGGGCTTGCTGCTTACGCATCATTCTTCCCTGTGGCTATGCATTCAGCTGGGCTTCTAAAGAGATGTGCGCACTAAGAATTCCTGAGGATTTTTTTTTTCACTATCGTGAACTCTGGATGATCCTGGCTGCATTAGCAGGGGTCTTCCTAAGCTTAGGCTGTGAGCAGCCTATTTGGGATGTATTTGGCACAAGCAGACTTCCTCCATCCCCATTTTTCTCCCTGACTTGGGAGAGTCTAGTCTAGGACATTCCACCACAACTGGTTCTTTGTTCCCCACAGATCCACCTTTCCAGGGCTGGAAAGTTAGAATCTGAGAAGCAGGGGAATTTGGCTATACGAGCCTCCTTTATTCTAAAGCCATTACGTTTTTTGTGTAAGTGAGATTTTTCCAGTCTTAGGGATCTGACCTTTAGTTCTCAAGAACCACTAATATTTTATTAATTTAACAAATACTTAGCACTTCTCTAGGTAGTTTTGGTATATGTTGGAGATATTGCAGTTAATTAATCATTTCTTATATCATGGTGCCTGCATTCTAGTGAAGGAGATGGCGGGGAGGTGGGGAGGTGAGCAGATGGTGGATGTTTTATCTTTAGATGTTTTTATTTTTATTTATTAATTCCCCCCCCCCCCCTTTTTTGGTTCACATGCAGTGATGCACAGGGGTTAAGCCTGGCTTTGCACTCAGGAATTACTCCTGGTGGTGCTCAGGGGACCATATGGGATGCTGGGGATGGAACCTGGGTCAGCCACGTGCAAGCAAACATGCTGCCCACTGTACTGTTGCTCCAGCCCCCTGGAAATGTTTTTATTGTTTATTAATTTTGCTTTTTTGATTTTTTTTTTGTGTAGGAGTACTGCTATTTATTCAGCCACCGATTAGCTGATTGATTGGGCATGAACTCCACCTTACTTTTCTTTTTTTGCATAGTTTTATTTATTTATTTATTGTCTTATATTTATTTATTGAATCACTATGGGAGAAGTTACTAAGCTTTCAGGTTTAAGTGTCAGTCATACAATGATCAAACACCTCTCTCTTCACCAGTACTCATTTATCCCCACTAAGAACCCCAATATACCCACCTCCCAACCTTCCCAATGCCTGTGAGGCAGATAATTTCCACTTAACTCTTCTCTACATTGATTACATTTATTATTTAGACAAAAGATGCACCATTATTGTTTAGAATTTTCCCCCCAGCAATCAGAATTGGTGAAAAGGCATTGTGAAATACTTTGTTTTCTATAGTTGGTTATAAGAATCATATAATTTCGATTTTGGATTTCTGCAAAGAGCCAGATAATTACAAGATTGGTTTCTGTGTGTGTGGTGTCATGGCTGTGCCGGAGAGCCGCTCGTGGGGGGCAACTCGTGACCTCTGTAGGGCGTGAAGGATGAGCTGGTCCTGCTCCCCTTCCCATGAGACTGCAGTTGCCCTATCACTGCCGGCTCACACCTGGCTTTCCTGTAAGTTCTGAAACGGCGGCCACCTTGCTGCCGGGGCGAGGTGGAAAGGTGGAAGGGAGCAACACCCTTTCCCTCCCGGGGAGGCATGGCGCCATAGTTTAACACATGGTCCATTCCCTTTTCTGCTGCAAGCTGCCGG